GAGTATAGGACATCCTCAACTAAGTGGATCCACTAAGCTATGCTTAAAAGCAATAATGAATCATCTAAAAAGTGTTGATCCTTTACCCATGTTGGCATACATGGTTTATGAGGATTTAAGTTGTCTAAACTCGTCCCCATCTCGGTGCTCAATACTACTCCCAAAATATACTTTAGCTCATATGTTTGTAAAAACAAAACTTTTTCTTTGGTTTGAGATAATTACTCAAAACTTAGCTTAAAAGCTCTCTTGGAAATCTCAATTTCCTTTCTTGCTCAAATGTGAAAAATTTAACTCTTGTGAATACTTAGTTCCCGAATAATCTTTGAAGAATGAACTTTACTCTTACTCTTTACTGAAAACTAGCTCAAAGACTCTTTTGTAAATCTCAGTTTCCTTTTTTGTTTAAATATCAAAACAATTACTCTTTTAGAATACATAGTCCCGATATACTCTTTTGAAGAAATGCACTTTTATCTTTTCTCTTTACTCAACTCAAAACTCAAGTCTTAAAACAAAGTTAAAACATTTGTAAAAGACTTTTGGAAAACTTTATGAACTTCTCTTAACTTGACTCTTGACGTCTCTTGACTTGACTCTTAACTTCTCTTGACTTGACTCTTAACTTCTCTCGACTTGATTCTTAACTTTCCTTGAATTGAATTATGGATTCAAGGATCGTGATTTGTGATAGGAAAAGATCTCATGATGTTTAGGAATGATTTTAGATAGTTAATCATGAGAAACAATCAAGAAATCACTGTTGGGGAACTACTCCGCGACGCTGAGGTGAATTAAACTATTTGGTCGCGAAATAACTTTTGAGGTAGAACGGTGCGTGACCGCTCCGCTCCACAAAAGCAATTTTGTCAAATCTAAGGAACAGGTCCGCGACGTGGACGTGCTACCTGTTCCTTGTCCGACTTTTTCCTTCTTCGTTTTCCAGCCCCAATTCGCCTAAACTCAACTACTATTCTCAAGTTCTCTTTAGATTCAGATACCCAGTATGTATACACAAGAATCTAACTCAAACAACTCAAGGAAACAACATTTTAACTTCAAGAAACTCCTCAATCTCAACCTAACTCAAGAACGAAGGCTAATTTTAAGAACTCCATTCAAGATTCATCAACTTTCAACTTTCTAGAACAAACTTCGCTGAAATAAGCATGCTTGGCGCCTATCTTCAAGAACTTAACGATTCCTTGCTCCTTCTCCTCTTTTCTCCTCTTCTTTTCTCTTCTCTCAAAACCCTAACTTGTTTCTCAAAAGCGTAAACTAAATCCAATCAGTTTAGACCCCAACTGAATTACCAAAAACGTAATTAATCAATTGGGCGGTGAAAAGACCATAATACCCTTCTAAATTCCGGATTGGACTTTCCTTATTTGAACAACCCAACTTCCAATGGGGATAACTCACTCATACGAACTCGGAATCGCGCAAACTCGGCGGCGTTGGAAAGATTATTCCAAGATCCTTCCTACGTTTTCTGAAAACACACCTAACTCATCCTGAGCTAGGAGTTATGGTCGTTTAAAGTTGACCAAAAACTCAAACTTAACTTAACCAATTTTCAAGATTTTTTATTATTTTCAAAAATCACTCTTTCTAATTCTAGCTCTTTCTAGTTCTTTCAATTTGCGAGATGTTACATCTCTAGTATAAGTAGTCTGTTTATTAAGTCTGTTATTAATTTTAGGCAATAAATAAGGTGCTGCATATTCAAATTCAAAATCATTCTTTTATTTTTCCGAATTTTTTGAGGAACTTGAACTAGCATTATTATTTGCAGCTAAATGAATAATTTTTTCTCGAAGATCATTATCAGTGACTTCTTTCAAAAGTTCTATCACATTAACAGATGTAATAATATTTACATTTAAATCTTGAAATCGAGATTGCAATTTATAAAATTCATCATTTTCACAAGAACATATATCATCATGATAGGTATTGCAAGTATTCGTTTTATCATGCTGATTACTGTCAGCTATATCAAGCAAATCAATTTCTTCTTCAGAATCAGAATAATAATCAGACTCAGAACCAGAAGTATATAACAAGCTTACAATTTGGTGGTATGTGACCAAAATTTCCACATCTATAGCACTTGATTTTAGCGAGATCACGCTTAGACCTATTTTTGGTAAATCTATTAGACTTATGAAAAGCTTTTCTAGCGTAGCGCTCTTCCTTAGATCTATATCTACACCTCTTTTTTCCTATAAGGTTTATCAGAGTTAGAATCCCTATATTTCTTCTTCTTGCTACCAGCAGAAGTATCAGGTAAACCGAACTGGGCACAAAAGTCTCCTAACTGAGATCTTTCTTTAAGTTTATCCATCTTAAGCTGTCTAGATAATTTTAATTCATTGCACAAATTTATTCCTTTCTTGAGTGCAAACTCCTATCAGCTTACCATAAGTATAATCCTTATATGGAATTTCACCATGATTAGTTCTCAGAGCTTTTCTAACTCTTTCGGCAAATAAAGTGGGAAGGCCATCTATAAACTTAGCTTTTCAAAGCTCATAACTATTTTCGAGCAATTCCATCACCCTACTCCTGTAAGTATCTTTATACCATCTAAATTCACCTAAGGTTCTACAATGTAGACCATTTAATAAGGTACGAACAGTCTCATACTGATTGGTAAATCTACCATTAAAATGTTCTAAAATGGTTAAGACTAAAGTATAAACATCGTCTTCTCTATTTTTTACTAGAGCCATGCCTAAGTTATCAACACCTTCATTATCAACAATAACATTTATCACTGCTGCTTTTTTCTCAATACTCATATAATTATCCCACCAACCTCTGAGTTGGGTAGTAAAACCTGCAATAATCATTTTGCAAATATTTCTATCTGTGTTTTTAACACTTTTTACAAATAGTTGCATACATAAGCATTCTATGAACAAGAATAGTTAATTGTCTATCAGTCAAACCATCAAGATTCCATTCGTAAATTTCAGACCCACTATAAGAGGTATTAGTCTGATTCCAAACTCGTTCCTCTATTAACACATCTTGAGGAGTTGGTCTAGAATAATAATAGGTATGCATGCTTGGTTTATGGGCATACTTAGTATTATTATTCTTTTTAGGATAACCACGAAGCTTATTATTAAAGAAACATGATTTTTAAAATCAAAAGTTTTTTTTCATTTCATCCGCAAAATTGTCTGACAAATCAATAGGCTTTGCACTTAAACCTGACAATTTTTTATCAAAAAGTTCTTCTAAATATTTAATGATTTAAATTTAAAATCCCGAATCTTAGGGGGACTTTGCACATGAGTAGAAATAATTTGAAGCTTTCTGAATTGCTTTTAGAAGTTAGAAGCCGTATCAGAAGTCTTTATATCATTTTTTATTTGGATTACTAAAGCAGTTAATTCATCTAATTTTTTATCAAGAGAACTAATATGTTCACCCAAAACTTTAACATAAAGACCCAAATAATTATTTTGGGAAATTAAATTGTTTATTTCATTAATGCTGATTGCCGCAACATCTTCTTCAACAAATTTTTGAAAGGCAGTAAAGGTGATACCTGTATTATTTGGTAAAATAAAAGATGACTGAGGTGGATAGACAACCTTCATAATATTACCAGAACCATCTTTATAAGATCTTTCAAGAACATTGATGTATAAAGGTAAATAAGTGGTTATAAACTAGGGTACAAAATACATAATTTGATTATGTGGAGCACAAGTTTCATAAAATTCTTGAGAAATATTATTCAAATCATTAGCACTATAAGTGTCAAAAAACCATGTTTTAAATTGGTTCCATTTATTACTTGAAAATTCTTTCTGAATGTACTTTCTTTCCAGTTGTCACGACCCGAGCCTACACCCTAGACGTGGATGACACTCGAGAATCATTGTTGGTCCCCAAGCGAACCCTCATCCTGGCTGACTTCAAGCGGAAGATTAACTCAAGCATACAAAGCTTAAAAACTGAATAAAATTCATGAAACTTAAACACAAGCTTTAACTCAAAAGAAAAATGAATAAAAATAAATTATTCAACTCGCCATAAAATAGGCAACTTAAGTCTTTAAACCATTTAATAAAATAAATAATACAGACTTCTCAACTATACTGACTATCTATGAAGCCTCTAACTGTTAAAGATGGAAGTCAGGACAAGACCCGCGACATCCTGACTAAACTGAAAAGTAAATGAAATCCTTCAAAAACAAGGAGGCTCACAATAGCTAACTCGAACTTTTGGATGTATCAACGAAGCTCCCGTTGATGACCCTGAATACCTGTGTCTGCATCATGAGAAGATGCAGGACAAATGGCTCAGTACGTGGAATGTACGAGCATGTAAGAGGAATTCTAAAGCATAAACATAAGCTTGAAACTTGATAAAAAAAAGGAAACATACTTACCTCTTCTTAAACTTACTCAACTCAAGGAATACTCAAGGATACTCAAAACTACACAACTTACTCAACTCAGAAGTACTCAAGGATAAGATACTCAACTCAAGATATGATATTCGACTCTGGGTACTCAACTCTGGATACTCAACTCAATATAAAGCAATAATACATATGCAATATGTGGAAAGCTTTACAAAACACCACTATGAGCCTAAGTGGTGATAAAACGTCTTGCCCACACTACCAGAATTGTCCTATACTTTGCCGTCATATAGAACGCTTAACTTAGTGGATCCACTAGCTTAACTTATCTGATCATCTAAAAAGTATGACTCATTACTACCCATGATGGCTACATGGTTTATGGGGACTTGAGTTAATATGAACTCGCATCCCCATATCGGTGCTCAATACTACTCCAAAATATACTTAGCTCATATGTTTTAAAACAACTTCTTTCTTTGGTTTGAGATAATTACTCAAAACTTAGCTTAAAAGTTCTCTTGGAATCGATGTTCCCTTTCTTACTCAAAACTCTTTTGGAAATCTCAGTTTCCTTTCTTGTTTAAATGTGCAAATATTTACTCTTTGGGAATACATAGTCCCGATATACTCTTTTGAGTATATACTTACCTCTTCTTAAACTTTACTCAACTTCAAAGCTTAAGTCTTAAAACAAGGTTTTTAATAACCATAGATAGAACTCAATACTTGGAACTCAAGAACTTCAATGATAATACTCATTGCAAGAATACTCAACTCAAAGGATTCATGCGGAATTATGAGCATGAACTACTCAACTCAAGGACTTAAAGATACTTCTCATCTCAAGACTGTTCAACTTATAAGGTTCATGCAGAATTATGGGCATGAACAATTCAACTCAAGGACTTCATGGGTAACATGTAATAGTCCCATGATTAGAAATATAATCTCAAAGAGGATTGGGAACTCAATACTTAAGACTTAGAAGTTGAAGGTATTACCCCTCTCAATGATACTCAATTTATGGAATCCATGCGGAATTTATGGGCATGAACGACTCGACTAGAAGGTCTACAACCTATATGGAACTCATGTATACGAAACTTCTTATTCTTTTACTTACTACCTCAAGACTTAGTTCAAATCGATGGTTGATCTCAAAGGATTCACAATTGAACTCAATGACTTTCTTGAACTCAACTTTTAACTCTCTCTTGAATGTGAATTATGAATTCAAGAGTTATAGTTCACGATATGAAAGATCTCATGATAACAAAGTAGACTCAGGAGTACATTCTCCTCATCCTCACACTCACTTGCTCGAGTCTTGAAACAGGTTACTAGAAGTTGTAGAAGACTCCACAAAAGGACTCAAAGGGACTTTCTTAGAATGTTCGAAAGAACTCTCAAAACTTAACTCTTAGCTCTACCTTGAATTTGAATTATGAATTCAAGGTTATGATCATGTTATGAATGATTTCTAGGTGTTTAGAAGTAGCTTAGAGTAGTTAGAATCGAAAAGGAGTGAATGTGCACTTTAAACGAACTCAAACGGGGAAATCGACGACAAACTGGATGGGGCAGGAGACCCTGGCGCTATGGGTGGCGCATGGCGCCAGCCCCTAAATTTCAGAGGAGGGTTTGGGGCGCTCTGGTTGGCGCATCGCGCCAGGACCCAACCCAGAAAATCCGATGAATTTTCCTTGCTCATTTTCTCACCCTAACTTGCCTAGAATAGAACGGTTTCTTCCCTAATCACTTGGATTCGATTACTTAACTTAAGTACACTCTAATATACTCAAAACAACACTCAAATTACTAAATTTCATCTCAAGAAATCATCAAAACCCCAACACAACAATATTTAGAATGAACTTCAAGAACACCTATCAAGAACTCATCAAGAACTCTAATCTTTCAATATCAAGAACGAAATTTCGCTGAAAATAACATGATTGGCATGTGGGTGAACTAACCCAACACTATGGAAGCTTACATACCTCTTAGGGATTAAACCCATGGTAAAAATTCACAACAAAACACAAGACTCTCGACGAACGCTTTGATCATCTCCTCTTTTCTCCTATTTTTCTCTTCTTTTCTCTTCTTGAACTCTCAACTAAAACCCTAGGCTTAATTTTAGGATTATAAAACTGTACCTAATAGGATTAGACCCTTAAAACCTTACTAAAAATGAATAAAATCTGATTGGGTAAGGAAAAGACCAAATACCCCTCACTATTTTCGGCTAACTTTCCTTAATTGGATAGCCTAACTTCAAAAGACAACATTTCACTCATCCGAACTCGAAACTTAGCAAAATCGGTGGCGTTGGAAATATAATTCAAAGATCTTTCCTAAGTTATCTTGTAGCACACCTAAATAATTCTAAGCTAGGAGTTATGGTCGTTTGAAGTCAACCCATAACTCATACTTAGCTTAACTTGCATAATTTTAGATTTTTGAAGTAATTTTAAATTTCCTTAGTAAAATCCTACTCACAACGAAAGACGGTTCAAGTCTTAGCTCAAAATTATTTTGGGGTGTTACACCAGTGAACCTGGACTAAAATCTATTTGGTGTACATTCATCATTAAGTTTTATTAGGATCAAAATCCATTTCGGATACAGAAGGAATATCCTTATCAGAAATATCAGAAGAATTAGCATTAGCTTGAACAATATTCGTTCGAGGAACAATCTTTATTTTATTAACAAGTTTATTATTTTGATCAGCATATATAATAGGAAAAGAAACCGTAGAAGGTATGGTATGTAAAGAAGCAGCACGATTACGAGCTGGACCATACACATGTTCAATTGGGGAGATATGATGAATAACAGGCAATCTTTTATCAGAAAATGAATGTCTACTATATGGAACACTTTTATCATCAAACTGAATGCAAATTCTATCATCAGGATTTTGTGTAATATTAGAATACTCAGAATTA